TTTACAAATAACTCAAGGCAGTGAACACCTAATAATTCTTCCTCCTCTTTTCTCCCACAAGAACAACCTTTGAGGTGAGTTGGGCTGAGAGCGTGACTGGCACCATCCAGCTGGCTTTCATCCCTAAGGTGGGACTAGAACTCAGTCTTCCTGTTTCTAGTCTGGGAAAAAAAAACATTTGAGGTTTAGCGCTAGCACTAGCGCTTAGGCTTATATACCGCTTTACAGTGCTTTACAGCCCTCTCTAAGCAGTTTACAGAGTCAGGATATTGCCCCCAACCTCTGAAGGATGGAAGGCTAAGTCAACATTGAGCCTGGTGAGATTGGAGCTGCCAAATTGCAGGCAGCCTGCAGTCAGCAGAAGTAGTGTGCAGTACTTCAGTCTAACCACTGCACCACCGTGGCTCAGGTTTGACATAGCTTGGTTTACCATAGGTTGTTGGTTTGTGAAAGAAAGAAAAAAGAAAGAATGAGAAAAAAGAAAGAAAAAGAAAGAAAGAAAAAGAAAGAGAAAAAGTTGTGTATCTGTGCTGATACCCAAATTTTTACAGCCAGGTCTGGTAGATGCAAAGTTACCATTATCAAATATTTTTCTTACACAGAAATTAGATCCACTCATCATACTAAATTATATTGTGGTTTCCTTTTAATCTAGTGTGTTGTAATGATATTAAAAATATTGGTTTGTTTGAACCCAGATAACAAATTCAATAAAATATTACAAAAGCTTACATGATCTCCACTTCAGGAAGAAGGGAACATAAATAAATAATGGTATTTCTAATACAAAGTATCTAACAGCACTGCAAACTGTCAAATTCTTTCTCTTTCCTAATTAAATTGTCGTTTCACTTAATGTACTAGAATTAGAAATCTTTTGGCCATATGTAACAGGGATAGGAATGTGGACAGTGGAATCCATAGGAGGAGTAGGGCTGGAGACAACAACTTGACCTTCCAGAAGGCCACAAGAGGCTATCAAGTGATACTGTGATATCCCTGAAAGGTGTGGGGAGGGGATTTTTTTGGGTGGGGGGGGGAGGATTAAGGTAGACTTAGAAGCAGGAGACTACTATCTGTGCACTTAATACCACTCCGTCTCCTGGCTAAAATCACACTAGTGAAATCTATTGATTTTGCCTCCAAAATTGAGAAGCTCCATTTTGAGGCACTGTGGAAACTCATTACCCACTCCCGATATACAGTATAGTTGTGACAGTGTTTGGGTCAATATTTTCACCTTCAGTTTGTTGCTATCTTAAACCAATGTGCTATGCATTTCTGAACTTCTGGTTGAACTATTAAAAATTTCATCCACCTATTCACCCACTCACAAATGCATATTGGCTCTTTATGCATCTATAATAAAACAAAAAGTCAATGTTTGCTTGGAGATCGAGATGTTCCTCGTTTTCGTAGGCTTTGAATGTCACTGGAAATCAGCAAGAAACCCTAAGAAGATATACAAAAACATATTTAATTGCAGATTTATAACAGCTTGATTATTAGAAATCTCACTTCTCACTGTTTTGTGAATTGAATTCTAGAAATAAGTAGCTTATGATTGACAAAAAGAAATAAAAACAGTCATGTCGTTGGTATTATGGAGTCATTGTGGGTGGGATGGGTGGTTGTAAACATTTATTTAATAAATAAATAATATAAATATTTTAGTTACAGAAATACAAATATTTGTGGATATGTTTTATATGTTTGTTTGGTCATAAAGGGGGTCTGAATAGGACATACTGAAAATTCATTTATTTATTTCTCAAATTTGGAGACCACCTATCTCTTTCATGGAGCAACTCACTATATTGGAAGCACAACATGACAACTTTCTGACAAATATCATCTAATCTAAATACATCATCCTAATCATCTTTTATTTTTCACTCTGGGGATATAAGATAAGAATAGATATTACCAAATCTTACCTCATACATTCTAATACTCGGCTTCATAAGAATCACTGGGTCCAAGACAGACAGAGGAAATTCATCCTTTAGTTTAACTTAATAAAACATAGAAAAAAAGAGTATGGTAGTTATGACTACGTAGTTATGACTAGATTTTTAAATTGCATGCATTTCTTAATCTAAAAGCTTAATATGTTGTATATTATTGATCAAATATGAATATTTTAACATTTGTTTTATTTTTTATTCAGCAAAAAGTAATTTATACTTTCTTTAAAAAGTTTAATATTACATCTCATTTTAAAGACAGGAAAGAAAGGCACTGAGATCAACATTTTTTTTGCAGTTTTTATGCTGTATTTGGATTCCACTGAATTTGTGAATACAAAAGTAGTTATTTTGTAGGTAGTATAGTACTGATCACATGAATGGTTATTCTGAGTAACTGTTATGCAGGGATTAAAACCTAAACTATACAACAGATACATTTTAACCACAAGGCTTAGAAGTTCTTCATTAGCCTCTCTACTCTGGTATTGGATTTTAACTTGGTTTATGGCCATACTGGCTGGAATTTACAGGAATTTATATTTACAAGTCTTTAGTATATTTGAACCTGGCTTAGAAACAAAAGTAATCAAAGAAACAAGAAATTTAGAGAAAGAAAGATGAAGCTATGCTTACAATTGGCTGCTGGAATTATTCCAGTTCGTAAAATGTAAGACAAGAAATTATCCAGAAGTGAAGCCTGCAATGTAAAACAAAGGTTAACTTTTCTTCAGTAAGAGAACTGGGATGACAGTGTTTAAACAGGATTATTTATTTTTATCAATATATCAATGGATGATATATTCCACCAGCAAAGTGACCTGATGCTATGTACAGAAAACAATTTTCTAAGTTTCCTAATAATTTCTAATTTAGACTGAAAATTATTTGCTTCCCATTTTTGCAGCCTTTCCCTAAACCCTATACAATATTATATTTGCACATTATTTTATTTGCATTTTTTAAAATTTAATAACATTTCTCATAGACCTTTGTTCTACTATTTTTTGCAATAATGTACACATTATTGAAAGAAATTATCTTGAAAATGAAGCATCAACTTCTTATGGAAGAAAATTCAAATTCCCAGCCTGAAGCATGCTGTTGAATCTCAAGAATTGTATAAAATGTCTCTGTATCTGTGTATGTGTATGTGTGTGTCTGTGTTAAAAGGACCCTAAAGGTGGAGGATGCCACAAACAGCTCAGTGAAGAGTGAATATACTCAATAATACTACTACAATACTAACTACCTGTAGAAAGATAGAAAATGGGAAACTGTGAAGAGATACTAAATGCAGAATCTAAGAATGGTAACTGGTAGAATTCCCCTCAGTCCTTTGTCTCACAAATTCCTTTTTCATTTTTAGATATAAAACACTATATAGTGAAATAGTTCTCAAGAAAACAATAGGGGAAGGGGCAATCATACTGAAATATTATTGGAAAGAAAGTTAAAATTAAAGGAAAAGAAAAAAATAATGGGATCAATCACCAGGACAGCCCATTTTATAGAATTTAATAGTTCTATGAAGAAAATTTAAAAGGTGAAGTATGGTAATATGCTTTCTAAGCCATTCAGTTCTATCTGCTAAAAGTTGCACCTGCTTATTTTCCCTAGAGGCTGAAATTTACCTCAAAGAGGCCAACATTGGAATGAACCAGGGAGATGTGGAAACTGCAAAAAAAGAAGGCATAATCAGAGATTACTAACATGACCAAGATAGTAATGTTAGTGTGGCATTGCTGATGGATTGTTGGTCTTGAATAAGAAAAATTGGGGCTCAGATTTCTCTCAATGATCTTAATCACTCACACTGGGGCAATCCACACTTCCTGTTTGCTCAGGTGTGAGGACAACCCACCCATTGTTTCAAGAGAGTAGGCAGAGACTGCTGGTAAGGCAAGCTCACCTCATGTTCTGGACTTTTAAAATAGATTCAGCAGAGGGAGGATGGCATCTTGTCCTTTCTTCTGTTTTTTTTTTCTTCAAACAGGGAAGTTCTTATTCCCATGTTTTCACTGGCTAAAATTGAGTTTTGTCAAGTTTCCCCTCTTAGCCCCTTGAAATGTTTTTTAAAGGTTTGTAATGGAATAGTGAAATGTGGGAGATTCCTTTATGTCTACCTTAAAGACATATTTTTAAGATATGGGTATTTGGGTATAACTGAAGAAAGTTCAGCATTGTACAGGATGGAAACCATAAGTTTATTTTTCACAAACAGTAAAATTTTACCAATTGTATCTTATTGTTAAATTCACAACTATGCTGGGTACTATCACAATTACTCCAGTGTTCAGTAATGATTTTTATACACAGTATTTCCACATCCATATAGCCGTACAATCATATCCAATCCCAGAATTGCTTAGAAAGAAGTCCCTTTCTAAGCAATCAAGACATGTGCATTTTCTTTGATAAGAGTTAAATTGATTCATCATGATTCAGTTTGAAAGAGGAGATAAAATGTGAGTTGGCCATAACACTCCATGTATATTGCAAAAACTTGATTATCATCCCTCAACCTGATGTACTCCATTTCACAAATACAGCTCCATAATACAATTGCAGCATGACCTTTTTATATTTTATATTTATTTTAAGCTGCCATACTTTTAAATACTAAATCAATCAATTTAAGCAGTTTTGGGATACAATGGATTAAAAATCTAACAAAGGTTTTTACCTGCTCAAGCACAATGTAGTTAGCAACTTCCGGTTAAATATAAACAAATCTGCATGAGTTCTGGTTGTCTGTGAAAATGAAATGTTACTATATAGTAAGTAATTCTTTTACAGTTAGACAGCTGCTGAAATAGTATCTGAGAAAGACCTTGGGATTCGAGGCAAAGTGATGTGGCCTAGAGAATGGTTGGATAAGAGACAGCATAGCCCCCTGCTAAATACTGGATGGAACAAGATGCTCTGAAGGGACCCTTTCTAGTTTCTTGGACTATAAATGAGATGGTGAGAGAATTGCACTTTCAGACAGGCAAGACTGAGGTCTGCCTTACCAGGTAGATCAGACAGGAAACACAATCAGATAAGATAATTTAACTTTATATTGTAAAGCTACATTAATAGAATCTTGCAACTCTGAAAATTCCTTCCTTCTCTCTAGAGTTCCTGCTGGCTTCCCAATTTACTTTGACTATTGAATGCTTGCAGGGAGAAAATCAACCAGTCCAAGCCTGCCAGGCAGTTGAGTGCTGCTATCAGGTGGGAGAGGAAGTGAGAATGTGTGTGGATGTGCTGGTTAGGAGGAAGGATAGTTGAGAATGCATGAGAGGTGCCATATGGGTCAGGAAAGATATACAGGTGTGTACGAGAGATTCCAAGTGGGTTGGTTCGGATAAATGAGGGGGATGACATGAGTCAGGAAATGTTCACAGAGATGCATGAGAGGTACCATGCAAGTGGGGTAGGGCATGTGAGGGGGTGGGGGTGGGGACATGGGCTGAAAAGGATGTAGAAGGATACATAAGAGGTGCATGTAGATTGGGGAAGATGCCTGGGGAACAGAAGAAAATGCATACAGGTCCGTAGATTGGGGAAGATGCCTGGGGAACAGAAGAAAATGCATACAGGTCCGTTCCCTTCCATTCCGTTGTGCTGCTGCCAGGTAGAGTAGGGACTGAGAAATTGCAAGAATGGCTGGGAAACTGTCACAGAAGGAATATTGATAATGAGGGTCATGCGACTGCAGGAGCAGCCTGGCAACTGAAGCAGCCAAACTTTCTCAAATTTCATTTCATTTTATTTGGAAATGTAAAATGAAAACAATTGCTATGAATAACATGTACCCTTTCAGTGACTTTTGAATAATTTAGGCAGAAGTAAGCCAGTTGTTTTGAACTTTAACTTTCATGAGGGCAAATGAGTCAAAAAACTAAAATTCTAATCTAAAACATCTGGGTTACCTATAGCCTATCCTTAGAATAGAGTTAGATTTGAGATGGATCAGGGAACTATTTTATAGCCAACATCCAAGCACGGAGGCGGGGTGGGCTCTTAACAGTCTCAGTAAGATGAAAAATTTGCAGGATGGATCATAACTTCACATATTCCTACAAACAGGTCTAGAGAGAATTGGATAGTGTAAGACTTACTATATTCAAGGTGAACATGGATTCAGTGGTTGAGTTTGGCATCTTTGCCAATACTTCCATAGAAGCAGAAAACTCCAGAATACATTTATTGTCATGCAGACTAACCACAGGTGCATCAATGATTCTTATGTTCATAATTACTGGAAGTGGCTTTGCATAAATATGAGTTATCTGTAGAGTTTAAAAGTAGAAACCAAGTTTCAGAAAAATTAAAACAGGGTTTTAAAAATGTAAACAGCAAGTTTCAAAGAGATTAAAAAACACTTACAGTAGGAATGATGCTCTCCAATGCATCTGTGGTTAAGTTGAAATAAGAAGAAAGCTGTAAAATGAAATGACATGTTAGGTTATCTTGCAAAAATTATGTGGCTTTATAGGGATTTAATTATCTGGAGAGACAATGGTCTCCTTTTCACCTATGTAATGTGTTCCAACAGGGGCTGGACAGGTCAATTATTTACCAGGGTGCTTTAATTTACTGTAGCCCCGTAAATGCACTTCTCTGTTTTTAAAAAGAATGTTCTGATTCAATTTTCTTACTAGCAAATAGAGTTTGCCAAACCTTTGTTCAAAAATACTTCTATTTAATAGAAGCCTTTAGTACATATGATAGCCATAAGCAAATTAAGCCTGCAGAATATTATTTCTATTTTCGTTTGAAGGTGAAAAATGTAATTAGCAAGGAAAGGAGGGATGAACAAAGATGAATTTGGAGGGAGCCTTGGTATAACTCCCAGATTCTTAGCTGTTTTTAAATTAAATCCAGAAATATTAAGGTATAGGAGTTATTAAATAGTTCTGTACTAAGAGTTTCACAAATGAAAGCAAGTCATTAGATCCCACCCCAACCTCAAGATATTACTAAAGATTAAAGGTTGATGCCATTTGGAATTCCTTTGAACAACAGCCAAGAGGTGCTGTATGAGCTGTCATTTGACAGAATACACTTCTAAATAAACAGATGCGTTGGGATTGCAATTTTCAGAATCTATATGCTTCAGAATGTAGTTGTCATAGAAAAAAATTCCAGAGGGTTAATAGAGTATGTCTATGCAAAGCCAAGATATCAGATAGATGTGAAGGAAAAAAATGGCTCATATTACTAAGAACTGTTTGCAACTCCTAGAAGCCTTTCTATGAATGCTTCTGAATCCATTTTTCCATGACAAATCCCTTCTTCAGTCAGTTCTCTTTGGCAAGATGAAGTCCTTTTCTTCATTAATTCCTATCTTGTGCAGCCTTATGAACTGTTGACCTGAAGGACTGTCCACTCAGTCTTGATTAGACAGAAACTATATCTATATGATATTTAGTATCCCTACTGCCAATACCTAACTTGTTTCTTTTGCCTTTGTTCCCAGCTACCGGTACTTTCAGGCTCCAATTTGAAGGTGTCATAACAAGGACAAACAAGGCGTCATAACCCTAGCCCCAGCAACTGAAGTCTCACTCACTCATGAACTAGAGAGGGGATAAAGCAGTTGTGGGATTCAATTTTTTTTTTACTACTGGTTCTGTGGGTATGGCTTTGTGGGTGTGGCTTGGTGGGCATGGCAGGAGAAGGATACTGTAAAATCTCCATTCCCTCCCCACTCCAGGGGGAAAATCCCCATTCCCTCCCCACTCCAGGGGGAAAATCCCCATTCCCTCCCCATCAGCTGGGACTTGGGAGGCAGAGAATAGATGGGGTGGGGTTAGTCAGAGGTGGTATTTACCAGTTCTCTGAACTACTCAAAATTTCCTCTACTGGTTCTCCAGAACTGGTCAGAACCTGCTGAACACCACCTCTGTATTATTTGTATTATTTGTAATAGTAAAAGCTACACATACTAGTGTTTAAAAACTGATAATCAAACTGTTTTAGGGATCCTAAAGTCAATACTTGCAAGTATACTTCTTAATTAGTACATTTTCCACTGTACCTATAAGATTGATTCAATGTGATGTCCACATTATCTACATTTCCTTTACAGCTCTCAAGCAACAATTTTAAATGACCGAATACATTCTGAGACACTTTTACGATTGCTGTGATGTTTACTCCTGAAATGAAGACAGCCCCACTTCCAGAATCTTTGCTGTGGACAATAAAACACAAATTTTCATTTTATTCTCGTTCTCAAGAAAATGCCAGGATTGCTTTAGAATTAAATAACAAAATAACCACTAAGATATAATATATACACAACATATAATATATAATATACATGTCTAATAATCAAAGTAAAACACATGTTTCTATAAGAATAACAGATCTTAATCATCAAAAATTAAAAGTTCATTTTTATCTTTCTCAAATAGGAAATTCAAAAGGTATCTCCAAATAGAAACAAAGCAAGATAAAGGTTTGTCTTTCTTCAAAGGTGTCAGTTTGACATCTCTGCCAGTTCCATTAATTCCACAATCCACTCTTCAGTTATGGGAAATTGTGTATCTTTCCACTTCTGATTGCTTAAATTGTATATTTTTATATGGTGTTTCTGCTTTTTTGTTTTAACCTTAGACTAAGGGGTTCCTATATTATATATTTCAGTATCTATACTGAAGAAAGTCAGAAATTAACTTTTTAAATTTTCTTGTTGTTTCTTCTTTCACTTTGTCCTCCCATTTTTCCTTTTATTTTATATTTTATTTCTCTTTAAAATGTAATAAAGTTAATAAAAAATAAAATGCCAGGAAAGGTTTTGCTGAAGAACATGAAGGTGGGTTCTTTTTAGCAAGTAACATAGCTATTTTTTTGAAAGCCTTTCTTAAAGATTCATTACAACTTCATTCATTTCTTGCTGACATCTCTGGATAGCACTAAATTATGGAAAGTTGATGCAAAATCTAAGCTATGTCTAAATACACCCGAAGTACCTACAAGAAAAGCAATTCCACCCACTCAAAAGAATGTACAGGTAGTCCTCAATTTATGACCACAATTGAGCCCAAAATTTCTGTTGCTAAGTGAGACATTTGATAAATTTTGNAAACACGGTAATTTAAAAAACCCCACTGTGTGTATGGATGACAAATATAATTCCACTTGTGAAAAACTGTAATTTTATATTGAGCACAGAAAGCTGAGCTGTTTTAAGCACACTTCTCTTAACGCAATATCAGTGTAAGTATCACATAAGTAGTATTTATCATAACAAAAAGGATCTGAATACGTTTCATTTTCAACTTCACAATTCTTAGATTTTAAAGATTTTGCATATTGCTCAAATGTTGTTAGTTCACAGTACAATAAGTCCATCAGCAAAATATAGATAGTTTGTCACAGACTCACCTTTTAGTCCTTTAAGTACTTCAGTTTCCTTTTGGATTCTTAATATAACATTTAGGCAGAGCTGTGAAAAAAAAATACATACATAAGATTTTTGATTTTTGTCAAGCGTAGGAAAGAGTCAACTAAGAAAAAGAACATATTGTTCTTTGTAGGCAAATTTATAATCCACTCAAATTTCCCAAACTTACTTGGCTTTCCAATCTTGTATGTATAACCTTTTCCAAATGTTGAACAAAAGCGTTATAAAACCACCTGGAGATTTTTAAAAAAACAGCATGTATGTTAATTCCTTCATAATTTAAGTTTTAGATAGAAATACGCAGACATCTGCAACAGTTGAATGCTCATTGAAAGTTAACTGCTATGAAGCTTAATTAATTAATTAAAATAATGCCTCATGGCATGCTACTTTTGGGAGAAGTTTTAAAATGATTGGATTCTCCATTTGGTTTCCACATGTGAAACACAATGTGGAAAACTGAGCTATTTATCTGAAGAAGACTGGAATGTTATAAATCCCATTTAATTTGTTGGGGCATAGTTCACAACAGACAGACTTAGGACTGTGTGTAAATAACTGGATGTTTTTAATACATGGAAGCCTTTAATGTACACAATTTTTTAATCTACACATTACAGGTACATATATCTATATATTCATTAGGGTGACCTGAGTGAAACTTATCAGACTTTGATGTTTATCAGGCTTTGTATATAACAGACCAAATTCTGCTACTATTTAAGCTATCTACATAATTTGCAACCTCATACAAACAACAAAATTCCGACAACAATGCACTGTTCAATATATTAAAAATTCATTAAAAACAGATCCCCATTACTGTAGTTCCTTATAATTAAATATCATTAAATAATATATTTCTTGAATTTACCTTCCTTCACTATTAAGCTGGACTTCAATTTTACCAGTGCTCACTTGGCAGTTTTGAATAGACACCAGCAAATCTCCTATATTATTTAGTGCCACAATCATATCTGTTGTAATAGACAGTCCTAAAATTGATATTTCAACTTCTCCCTGATAGTCACTACACAGGGAAAAATAAAAAGACATAGCAAGAGTTAAACTCAATATTTCATTTGGTTTAAAAAGTATATTTATTTTTCAGTTTTTTTTAAATTTCCAATTTAAATACTACCTGGATGAAAGCATCTAATCAAATGCATAGCTTTAATTATTTTCAGTTATCAGGTGACAGAATAAATAGCCTTAAATTTACAAAATTGCACTTACATCAACCAGTTGTTGAAGGTCCAGTGTGTAGTAACTGTCACAGAAATATTTTTAAGTAATAGTCTAATACCATTTTCAGGTATCAGGATCACAGAAGAATTATATACTGAAATAGACATGATTTGAATCCTATAAAGAGAGAAGCTTGACATATCATATTGCAAGATGAAATGAAGCTTAATCTATGTAATGTAAAGAAGGACATGTTAACTCAGAATAAAGTTCTTTGACATGGCTTATGAAACTAAAAGAATAACTGTAAAATAAAATATGCATTTATAGAAAAAAATAATAAACAGCAGTAGTTATACTGAAATAAATGAATATATTTTATACCAAGAAACTGGTATATTGTCACAAAATTCAGAAATTAAAATTAAGATAACACATAAATGGCACAAATAGTCAAACTACCTTGATACTGTGTAGTCAACTGTGCCAAAAAAGTATTTCTCAGTGCCAATCTCATCTGGAAATATTCTTGCCTTTAGTTCTTGTTCAAGGAGCTTCATTCCAATTTCTTTTGCTAAAGGAAATACATAATCTTCAGATCCATCATCTGCCAATTTATTTATTATTTACTTGGATTCATAAGCCACCCAACCCAATATTCTTGTGAGCATGTTTGAAGATGGAAAATTAGGGGCAGATTTGTTAGTAATTATTCTAATTCTTCATATTCTGCTTCTTACATACCTTGAAATATTGTCAAGAAAGAAGGTTATTTTGTCAACTGCATGGAAAGGGAAGAGAATTTAATGAGTACTTAAAATTGGAAATGAAGTTCTTACTTCATAAGGAAGATCTTACTTCTATCAATAAATGGAAATGCTTATTGTATTTCATTTTCAGACAGTTAGGAATGGACTTGTGTAGGTATGCAATTTAATTTCTACTTTATAGATATGAGATTCCTTAAGCATGTTTACTAACAGCATTTTAGGCAGATGTATGCTGCAGGCTCAAATTACTCAAGTTCTCTGAGATGACCATTGCAATTGCTATGATGCTTTGAGGAAATCCATAGTATTATATAAAAGGTTTGAAGTATATTGAAATATAGTTGCAAAATAAAATAAATCAATTTACCATAATTCAATCCCCTTTGTGTAATTCTTATTCTGACTTCAGGGTTAGCCTCAAGTTGAAAAAGAAATAAACTTAAAAGAATGAAAACCCACCAGAATCTCATCTTCCTTATTCACCTTTTGTTGAGTATTACCTGTTAAAATATATTGTAAGCTTAGTTTTTTCATAATCCTAATCCTAATTTCATGTTTGTTAAAAGTAAAATTTAAGGCACAATTAGCCAATAACAATTAAATATTTAGATCTAAAATTATTAGGAATATGTTTACATGAGATTTCAAAAATTCCATTATGAGTCTATCATACACCCTTTGCCATATACCGTATTTAACAGCTGTAACATTGTCATCTGCATATTTTTAAAATGTCTTCATTGTAAATAGTTTTGTAGNTTAGTTTTATAGAGACTAGAAATGGCTGTTGAACCTTGCCCATAATAGAATGATAAGAGAAGCACATTACTAAATTGGGCTATATGAAACATTAATCAGAAACTGGAAGATGACTACAACATAACCATACTAGGTAACAGGAAACATAGCCATAGTAGGCTATCTCTTCAACTGGAAACCAGATTCCAATAAGTGCAGAAAGAACGCCTTCATTCATTCACCATTTCAAAACTAAAGGTGGAAAAAAAAAGGAATCAAATGGGTTTTTTGGGCGTAGTAAAGAACTGGAACTTTGACAAATCTGTATTAAAACAGTGCTTGCTCCCAGACAGGGTTGTGAAATTAATGAGGTGTATATTGCCTAAGAGGGATAGAAAACCATTGGAAGTACTTAACACTGAGCTATACTAAAGGGCCCTGTTATGAAAACATTCCTTACTTTGAAATTGCGTACTTGAGTGCAAAAAACCCATATGTAGAGTCTCCATTCCAGTCTTCAAAAGTTTTTTCTTTTAATTTCTGCTTCAGAAGCTCTACTCCAAATTGATTACCTATAAGCATAGAACATACATGTACACTGAAATAGTAATTTAAAGAAATTTGTGTTACTTCTTATTCTGCTTCTATGTTTTTATCAGTCTGGAGTGGTTGCTAGGAATGACTTAATTGCATTTTAAGTTACTAAAGTATTTTGAAAATGCCTTGGTCCATCCTATGCAGAATAGTATTAAAGATCTGCTAATAGTGATTGAGGGCCATGCATTATTTTATTATGGAATAATACAATGACACAAAAGTTTGGATAGTGGATATTGTAGTACTGGAAGCAGAAGAAAAAGAATTGAAGAAAATCACAAAATACAAAGGTTTACAAGAAAAAGTAAACAACAGTGGCAAAAGAAAGCAAAGAGAGTACTAATAGTAAATTGTATTTTGGGTGCAATCCCAAAACAGTTATTAAAATTATATGCTGCCAATTTCACCAAGGTTAAATCAACCACTTGAACATTATCACTATCACCAATGCAAAATCACCACCAATCAATTGCAAAAAACAGCTTTACTTGCTGGAATGATACCTTTAAATAACATCTGCCTATCCCACATCTTTGGAAAGGACTCAATAGGTCGATAACAATGCCAAATCTAGCCTAACATCTTACTGATTATTATAACCAATTATTATATCCCACATTTCTTGTAAGAACTCAGAGGAAATTTCCTCTTAAGGGGAAGATACATTATTTATTAACCTTAACTGGTACAAGCAAGGTTGGCATTTGGGTCAACATCTTGATTAAATTTCCTCTGGTACACTCATTCTTCTGAAGGTTACAACATAGTCATAATTCCAAATATTTCTTCCATACTCACCATAGTCCAATGCTTTTTGTGTGATTTTCACTTTGATTCCTGGGTTAGCCTCAAGAAGCAGGATGGATAAGCCCAAGATAAGGAAAGTGATAGAAACTTTCATTCTCTTTCTTCCCCTCTTCCTCCCTTTTTTCACAGAAATGTATAAAGATAAATTAATTTTAAAAAAATGTGGTGACTAAATAAGTACTGTTTAACTATCTGACCGCACTCATTTAATTTTTTTCCAGAGGGAAAGAAACCTCCCATCCTTTAAAACTTAGCATCTTGATCATGAAAAGGCAATTATAAAGATGTGAAGGCATTCTGTATATTCTCAGAATCACATTTTTTAAAAAATATATCAGAGCACTGAACTTTGGAATAAAATATTGGCAATATTAAATCTTCCTTCATTTATAAGTGCTTATGTTGTTCTTATGACACTTTGCATGCAGTGAACTGGAATCAGTGAAAACATTCTAATTTAGATTAGGTTGAAGTTAAACATATTATTATTATATATTATAACTGCGCATTTTTAAATAGAATGTTGAGTGTATGGGAGTTGTT